TAGGGTCATGTGACCGCCGTGATTCACCAGCACAGTGGTCACATGATCGGAAAAGGTCCCAATCGAAAGGGGAGATTGGGACCTTTCCATGGGTCATGGACATATGTGCTGGGGAGCGCGCAGGGCACTTGCCCTCGGCACATATGTATTTTCTAATTGCAGGCAAATATGAGGCCACTCGGCATCAAAGGGTTAAAGGATAAGTTCACCTTTTTACCAAAAATAATAAATGCCCATTTTTTTGCAGGTAAAAAAAAGGTGCATTTATTATTTTTGGTTGCAGGAGCCTGGAAACCATTGCACCAGCGATCAGCAGATCTGTCAGAATATCTTCTTGCCCATAGGGGATGTATGAGCAAGTAGATATACTGACAGGAAGAATGAATGAACTACCACAACGCTCCACAGCGCCCCACACATGGCCAAATTTTTAAAAATTTGACAGCTAACAGTGGAGAGGAGATCCCTCATTAGCTGTCAAAATGGGGACGGGGAGGAGGATGTATTCATAACATGTTACATGTTACACCCTGAATATTGGTGTAACATGTTATGAAAGGTGAACTTATCCTTTAATGCCACAGCACCCATAACTAGTGTCCCAGAGTATTATGAGGTTTTTTTTTAATGAGAGAGCACAGCTGTAGCTGTTTATGTTCAAACTGTCCCTATAACTAATTGATACTTCTCTCAACAGAGCACACAGGAAAGTGAAGAGAGGGGGAAAATAATAATTTCTCTAACTCAGTCTCTTGTGTTTCCAAACTGAGCTATTGAACTCTATAAACAATGGTATTTTTTCAACAGGGCAGCTAAAAATAGCTATAATGCAAAAAAATCACCTGTAAATGTAATATATTGCAGCTTACCATTCATTAGATGTGGTAGCTGCATTAATTTTCTTTTTTTAGACTTTTTCCTTCCGTTTACATTTTGTGATCTGACCAGTAACACTCCTCCTGTATTAGAGTGCCCACACTTCTGGATGAAGGAACACAGTAACAATTGTTAATCTGGGGGAATGAGTAGTGACACTTGTTAGATGTACTACCAGATTTATAATAACACTAACATAATTAAAAGCTAGAACCTCCAGCTAATACGATTTTATAACCCCCCCTGGCGGTATTCCCGAGTGTAGCTCAGGGTTAACTTTCAGTACCAGAAGTGGTAACCCCCGAGCTACACTCAGGATTACCCTGCAGCGTTGCTCTGGATCCCTCCAACACTACCATTTTCCTTGTCCTGCGGTCGTCCCGCGATGTCCCCCCTGCAGCATCCCCCGGCCATGTCCTCCGGATCCGATGCCGTCATCCATCTTCCAGGATCCGTTCCCCTGTGAGCGCCAGGACGTGAATGGAACAGTGCAGGGGACAGAACCGGCGGAATTTAAAAAAAATGTAAAAATTTTACATTCACTCAATACACTAAAATCTGATAGTAATACATTACTGTATCAACGCATTTCACATACATTTTGTCCCTAGTGCTTTGTCCTGTGCCCTGCCTGCATTTTTACTGGTTCTTTCTGCGCTGGAAACTGAGAAAAGTCCATGGTGTCCAAAAAGCGTCCCAGAGAGCGGTTAGAGTCAAAAATCGGCTGTTTAGACCAGCTAGAGAACAGCGATAGTAAATTAGAACCACTTGCAGAATTGAGTGATAATGATTCGTGGGGAAATTCGTCATCAGTGATGTGCGAACTTGGCGCTCTATTTCAAATTTCAGTGTTTTTGGTTTGATTACATTATTGAATTAAATTTATTACTATTATTTTTATTTTTTATGAATTATTTATTATAATTTATGATTTCGTGTTTCAAAATTTTATCATACCCCGGAATGTTTACTAGACTCTTGCTAAAATCGGACAGATTTCAGTGAGTTATTCCTATAAGTATTAACAGGCCTACAACTTAAAAAAACAACATATTTCCATTGAGAAAACAATGTACCGCTATGAGCACAGAAATACTGACATATCTCAGACCACTAGGAGGATAATCAGTCACAGCAAACAGTTTTTTTTTTCCCTTTTGGGATAAAGGTTTAAAGATTCTAATAAATAAATAAAAGCTCATCATTGTACAAACACTCCTGTCATAGCAAGTTAATTTGTGTTTCAAACCCAGTAACTGCTACATCTGCAGAACATATTGTTCTGTTTGGAAAACAACAGACTAATGCCGTCCATACGAATGGGTCGAAATGCGATGATGATTGTTTTTTGTCTGAAAATTGGACCTAAGAATAATTGGCCGATTATAACTCTGTTAGTGGGTCAATGGTACCGTCCGATTTTTCGTGGTTCCTCCTCTTTTTCGGTGATCGTGCTGGCGCGTGTTGGAGAATTCGTGAAAAACGACCAATGTTCGAACTCAAATGATGGTCAAATCGTACGATCATTTTTCGTCCAAAAAGAATATGCACATGAGCCATGACCTGGAAGGGAACAGAAGTTTCCCCTGGTTATATGGGTGTTGAACTTTATGACTTGTCGGGTAGCCGAGACCGAATTTTCAAAATCATTAATGGCAACCAAATCGGATTGCCTAGCGAACAACAATTTCGATTTTTAACGAAAAACCGTTCGGAAACAAAAATTTGACTACCCAATTGGATGGCCTGCATTACTGGCCAGGTTACCAGGTGAAAATAATGGAAAGAAAAAATGAATTCAGGGCCATCACACATCCAAGAAATTGATACGCTGCAATGTAATAAATGTTTGCATGTTTGGTTTCATACTGCTTTAAAAAGCTAAAATGAAGTAAGTGATCCCTAAATGTCTCTAAATGTCAAGCATTTTTCAGGATTTAAAAACATGGTACAGTATTTAAATTTTGGTTGGCTTTATATGAAAGCAATTTTTCATTTACATATACTATGTATACATCACTTTTGCATTCCATTTTTGTAAATGCAGCCATGACCAATTTTGTATGGTAAATGTACATCAGAATGTGTCTCTTACTTATGGTCCAAATGCAAAAAAAAAATTTGCCTGAAAAACACCTGAGGGTATGCAATGTTTGACTCTCTTCTATGTCTGACATCCATGTACACAAACCCCTGGAGACTGATGGTAGTGCACAGCATGGCAAGGATGTTTCCTTTTAGCTACACATTTTAACTGCTCTGTGTAAATTAAATATTCATTCTTCTTTTGAGTGACAAGACATCAAACCAGGGAAAGTAGCATGGAACTCTATGTACTTCTAAGCACAGTACAGTATATTCTCTGAAGAAAAATAAAAACATAATAAATATAAACAGGGGCTATTATGACAGCTTGAAACCTATTTCTTTTTTTTTTAACCACAGCATCATTAAGGTTCTAAATTTATGGGTATTATTTAATCTTGGCATGTAAATGCCATTTTAAAGAGCATCATCTTCACTAAGCATTTACAAAGCATTTAACAAGCTTCACTGAAGTTCTTAAAGCATCTTTTGGCTCCCATCTGTCAGTGCTGAAATGAGATCTTAAAAAGCTGTAGCTTTAGACAGTTTTCTAAAGGTTTTGTTTTGCTGGATGTTTAACAGGCTGCTTGTTGCCAATTGCGTCTTGCCACACTCAGTGTAGCAAAATCATCCCACTGGCCATCTTGCTACTTTAAGGGTTAGCATTCATGCTGTACACACATGTACCAGGCTGTTTGGCTGAGCACATTGCAATAGGAACATGTATCTCAAAAGCGATGTGTGCTAAAAAGATGCTTTATTTGGATAAACTAACTGAGCATATTGTCATACAGGAGGGACATGGGCAGCCTCTTACACTTCTTTTTATCTAAAGCAGATCTAAACCCTTTCTCTCCTTTTCTGGAAGCTGCCATCTTAGCCTGTCATGATCTGCAACTGTCATGATTCTACACATGTGATCAGTTATGACACCAGGCATTTGATGGTTTGATAGTCTGCTTGATAGCACAAGCAAATGTGACAGTTAGCATTTCTGGCATGTGTCAGGAATGTAACTGTCAGGGGCGGACTGACCATTTGGAAACTCGGGTACTGCCTGAGGGCCCGGGGTAAGTAGGGGGCCCCATGAGATGTCCCGTGGTACCTTTTTCATAGGCTTTTTTGAGTTTGGGCAAGGACACAGGGGCACCATGATCCCCTATTGCCCGGGGGCCCCATGAGTTGTCAGTCCGCCTCTGGTAACTGTTTTTTTAAACTGTTAAGTTGAGGAGTTTAGTTTATTTAAAGCTACAGCTAGCACTCCAATCAGGACCTGAATTAAAGGATAAGTTCACTTATATTAACTGCCCATTTTTTTGCAGGTAAAAAAAAAGATGCATTTACTTTTTTTTTTTTTAGAGCCTGAAAAGCATATCAGCAGATCGCTGGTGCCATGTAGGGCTCCCTCAGACTGTGAGTGTAAGCTGTCTGCTTGTAACAGACACAGCCGATGACAGATCTGTGTACTGGCCCCATTGCCAGTACCATGTGACCTGCTGTGACCAATCACCTACAGCCTACAGGGCACTTATACCCCCTTCCTGCCCAGGCCAATTTCCAGCTTTCAGCGCTGTTGCACTTTGAATGACAATTGCACGGTCATGCAACACTGTACTACCCATATGAAACTTTTATCATTTTTTGTGACAGATAGAGCTTTATTTTGGTGGTATTTAATCACCTCTGGTTTTTTTTTATTTTTTCTTAAACCAAAAAACCACTGAAAATTTTGAAAAAAACAAAAGCTTTTTCTTAGTTTTTGTTATAAAATTTTGTAAATAAGTGATTTTTCTCCTTCACTGATGTGCGCTAATGAGGCTGCAGTGATGGGCACTGATAGGCTGCACTGATGGACACTGATAGGTGGCACTGATGGGCAGTGATGAGGAGGCACTGGTAGGTGGCACTGATGGGCATTGACAGGTATCACTGATGGGCACTGAAAGGCAGCACTCATATATGGCACTGATAGGCGGCACTGATAGGTGGCACTGATAGGCGGCACTGACTGGCACTGTTAGGTGGCACTGATAGGCGGCACTGTCGGGCAATGATAGGGCGGCACTGATGTACACTGATAGGCGGCACTGACTGGTACTGATAGGTGACACTGATTGACAGCATTGATAGGTGGCACTGATGGGTGACACTGAAAGGCAGCTCAGATGGGCACTGATATGTGGCATTGATGTGCACTGGTAGGCACTGAAATGTGGCATTGATGGGCACTGGCAGGTGACATGGATGAGCACTGACAGCTGGTACTGATGGACACTGACAGGTGGCACTGCAGGGGCTACACAGATCATCAGGGCACACTGATCATCAGTGCCCTGATGATCAGTGTACATGTCCCCTCCGAGGAATGCCGATTACCGGCTCTCCTCTTGAGCTGTCAGCGTGACACCTCGTGGGGAGAGAAATGCAGATAACCGGCATTTCCCTATTTACATGTGATCAGCTGTGATTGGACACAGCTAATCACATGACCGAGCCGACATCTTGGCTCTTTTCCTTTGATTGGTGATCCCTGTGTCCGAGGGACACAGTGCACCACCAATCGCCACGCTGCGCGCTCCCGGAACCGCGCATGCACGGTTAGAATGGGAGGACATCATATGACGTCCTCTCAGAACGAAAGAACCGCCTTGCGCCAGTCATTGTACTATATGGCAGGCGGGAGGCGTTTACAGGTGAAAAAGAAACAGCAGACAAGGTAAGTGCTGAGCTTAACTGCTGTGATTTCTCTTAAGATGTCAGGGTTTAATAACACTTTAAATATTGCTTGTTGCTTGTGCTGAGAGGGCATGCCCTGCGCGCTCCCTGCACATATGTCCGTGACTCAACGGAAAGGTCCCGATCTCCCCTTGTGATTGGGACCTTTTCCGATCATGTGACCGCCGTGACAGCGAATCACGGCAGTCACATGACCCTAAAACCCCACCCTGCCTCCCACCTTCTGAAACCTCTTAAAGGGCCGGGAGGCGCCGGCGCAAAGGGGTTAAGGAAGTGTGGGGGGAGGGTAAAAACACAACCTGACCGCCTGTTTTCACTGCCCCCGAACTGCAATGAAATTACTTCTGTCGTTGCAATGTACAGGCACACCTGGCTCTCCAGCTACAGTTTTCCACAAAATACTTGCCAAACCATTGTGAACCAATACCAAAATTGTGGGTACCACTCAAAGCTCTGACAGGTCCTCTTCTGTGACCAACTGCTGGGAGTACAGGCAAGGATGGAGCCCATCCCAGCTCCAAATGTCCATATAAGGAAAAAGAGAAGCCCTGTAAGCCTGCACATCACTGCAAGACCCTGTGTGTAATTATGTAATAGCCTCAGCCCGGGCTCCAACCCAATGCGTTTCACTTCATGACTAAGCTCTGGGGGGTGGCAGGAAATGCACTGGGGGGCATGGGCTGGCTGGAGCCTGCTCTGAGGCTGTTACATACTTACACATAGGGTCTTGCAGTGATGTGAAGCTTACAGGAATTCTCTTTTTCCTCACTTACCATACCATAGACAATTTGGCCTTTGGATCCTTTCACACAGAGTGGAATCTGTATCCATTAGCAGATCCCCTGCTAAATCATGGACAAATGGAATGAATCTCAGTTTATTGACATAGGTACCCGTTTAGTTTGTGCCCGGCAGACATGGGCAAACCCATGACAGCTCTGTGGGTGCCTTCAATCTGTCCTGTTTTGGTCTTGAAAAATGAAAAAGAATGCAGTCCTTTTCTGTTTTTTTGTTCTATAGTTGGACAGACTAGGACAAGGGGTCTCCAAAATATTTCTAAACAAAGGGCCAGTTTACTGTCCTTCAAACTTTACGAGGGCCGGACTGCGGCCAGTGGGAGTAGAAAAGGTCCTGACTTCAGGGAAAAGAAATAATGCCCAGTTGTTTGGTGTGGGGGGAATTGTGCCCCATCATTGATGTCATTGGACCCTATCACTTGTGTTGCTGGGAGGAATTGTGCCCCATCATTGATGTCATTGGACCCTATGATTTGTGTCACTGGGAAGAACTGTGCCCCATCATTGATGTCATTGGACCCTATCATTTGTGTCACTGGGAGGAACTGTGCCTCATCATTGATGTCATTGGACACTATCATTTGTGTCACTGGGAAGAATTGTGCCCCGTCATTCATGTCATTGAACCCTATCATTTGTGTTGCTGGGAGGAACTGTGCCCCATCATTGATGTCATTGGACCCTATCATTTGTGCCACTGGGAAGAATTGTGCCCCGTCATTCATGTTATTGGACACTATCATTTGTGTCACTGGAAGAATTGTGCCCCGTCATTCATGTCATTGAACCCTATCATTTGTGTCGCTGGGAGGAACTGTGCCCTCATCATTGATGTCATTGGACCTATCATTTGTGTCACTGGGAAGAACTGTGCCCCATCATTGATGTCATTGGACCCTATCATTTGTGTAACTGGGAAGAACTGTGCCCCATCATTGATGTCATTAGGACCCTATCATCATTTGTGTCACTGGGAAGAACTGTGCCCCGTCATTCATGTCATTGGACCCTATCATTTGTGTCACTGTGGGAAGAACTGTGTTCCGTCATTCATGTCATTGGACCCTATCATTTGTTTCACTGGGAGGAACTGTGCCCCATCATTGATGTCATTGGAAGAAGTTGTGCCCTCCTCAATGGTGTAAGTGGGGGGGAATGATACCAAATTGTTGGTATCAATATATGAAATAGTCCCCCAAGGGCCAGATAAAAGCAGGCAAAGGGCCACATCTGGCCCCTGGGCCGCAGTTTGGAGACCACTGGACTAGGAGGACGGTCAGTCAGTTTACATCCGCCTGTCCATAGGGCTGCATGGAGCTTCTGATCAGGTCCATCAGGAAAAGTTAACAGGAAGGATATAATCGGAATGCCTGTATGGAAGGGTCCCAAGTCTACATGCATTGTTCCTAGTAAACTAAGGAGCTCCAGCAACGTCATGACAGCACTTTAAGGGACGGCAATGCCCTCCTCATGGTTCCTCTTGTATTTCCTTCATGTAAAATATTTACATACAGAGTTACATGTCATTCTGGCCATTTCCACTGCAGCATGTATTCTAGAATCCAGCAGAATAACATCTGAGCAGAAGATAAGCAGAGCGCACTCTCTCTCGCTGCCCCCTCACGCCCCCGTACATGTCCTCCTTCCCACACATCTCCAGGCTTCCTCTGGGTTTTATACCCCCCCCCCCCCCCCCCCCACACACACACACACACACACATACACACAAGCACTAGTCGCCACGGTAACTGTGATCAAATACACCAGCAAGTTTGCAGCCTTGTAACTCCGCTGCCTATGCAGTTTATATAATCTCCTTGTACAGTACTAACACGACTGAGCGCGTCCTTGCAGGTTATATGTTTCTTTAGAGGTAGAAGGCTGATACGCACGCACAGTGCTGAGCCCACACATATCCCTGTACATGCACGGTCTGGGGCTCTGCAGCAGGCCATGTCAACAGAAGCTGTTCTGCAATGCACCACCTACAACAACAACACCCTGGTATGCAGTGCAAAGACACAAATGGCCTCTCAAAGGGGGACTTACATACAGCTCCAGAAGGGGGGCATATTAGCATTATGTGTCCTTACAAGACATGACTGTTCCTGATAGATGAGGCCAGACAATTATGAAAATATTGAAGCATGAAAGAATATATTAGGGCTTATTTACATGTGCTTTGATCTCTGAAGAGCCTTCCACTTTTGAATTGCTCTTCAGAGAACATCAGGCAGTGAGGAGGCATTGTATTGAATCCTGCGCTAGAATGCTGCAGCCGCATGCATTTTAACCACTTGCCCTCCAGAGGATTTCCTGACCAGGTCATTTTTTACAATACAGCGCTGCATTACTTTAACTGACAATTGCATAGTCATGCAACACTGCACCCAAATCAAATTTATGTCCTTTTTTTCCCCACAGATGGCGCTTTCTTTCAGTAGTATTTGATTGCCTCTGTGTTCTTTATTTTTTGCACTATAAACAGAAAAAAGGCTGACAATTTTGAGAAAAAAACAATATTTTTGACTTTTTGCTATAAAACATGTCCAGTAAAAGAATATAAAAAAAATCAAATTTCGTCATAAATTTAGGCCAAAATGTATTTGCTACATGCCTTTGCTAAAAAAAAAATCCCAATACGTGTAAATTAATTGTTTTACATGAGAGTTATAGCATCTACAAATGGCGTTTTTTTTTATACTAGTAATGGCAGCAAGCAGTGCAAGTGGCACTGCGGGACTGCGGCGGACATTCTGACACTTGGGGGGGAACTGACTAACTGTCACTGACATCCCCAATGACACTAATATACAGATCAGTGCTAATATAAAGCACTGACATTGTCCTGATGACACTGGGCAGGAAGGGGTTAATATCTGGGGCGATCAAAGGGTTAACTGTGTGCTGTGTGCTTTTTTACTGTGGGTTGTGTGTGTTTTACAGGAAAGCATGCTGCTTAGTATGACTCTGCTATGCAGAACCATACAAAGCAGCATGCTGGAGCTGACAGGGGAGAGATCTGTATTGTTTATTGTATTGATACTCGGCGATCACCAGATGGCGGTGGGGAATCAGCTGAAGCCGCCAATAGCGTGCCCCCTACCAGGAAATGCAAAATCACATATATATATATATATATACATGATTTTGCGCAGCCCTGCTGCCCTGTAGCAGTATTTCTGCTATAGGGCAGTCAGGAAGCAGTTAACAAGAGTATAGTTCTTGCCACAGCTGCAAAGCAAAGCATAGCGTCCGCAACATGTGTACACCTCTGGCTGGTGCAGCTAAAGGGGGTGTGCTGTAAAACACAGCTCAACCACATGGTTTTACTGTCTCTCAAATGCTAATGTGAACAAGCCCTTAAAAAGATGTTACATTGGAAAGTCATTCTGACTGATGTCTTCTATCCATATCATTTGATAGTAAACATATTTGGGCCCATTCACACCATACCAAGGCAGGCTCAATGGAAGGGCACATACATTAGAAACAAATTGTCCAAGGCCCTTCACTGGGTTTTCCAGTGTTTTAACTTTCTGTAGTAATAAAATGTGATATCTACTATGTAGTAGGTTTGATATTAAAGTGTTACTAAACCCACAACAGTAAAATCAGTCTGTATGTGCAGTAAAACATGCTTGTATTATTCACTATGGAACCTAAGGGATTAATTCTCTGCATTGTGTAAAAACGCTGTTTGATCCTGTCTTCTCTGATTCCTTCCCTTCTTCCAGTGTCCCCCTCTTATCTCCTGATAAGACATATGGTGTGGAGACACTCTGTACATGCTCAGTTTGGTGTGTATTGCTACAGAGGTTTTTCTTTTTCTTGGGAGAGTGCATGTGATCAGCACAGGGCCAATCAGCACTGTCCAGACAGAGGTCAGGGGTTCTGCATCCTCCTAGAGGAAAATGTAAACTCCTCCTACAAGCTTTAACATGTGCTTGGCTGGACACTGATAGAAGTCAGAAGATTGCTGTAATGTCTGATGAGAAAAGGTATTTAGCAGTTTATATTTACTAAAATAATTGCAATTCTATGTTCTGTGTACTGTGGGAGACCAGATATAGTAAATACAGGGTCCCGGGTTTAGTAACACTTTAATTAACCTCCCTGGCGGTATGATTATTTCATATTTTTGGTGCTGAAAGCGGTACCATTATTTTGCATGGAAATATGTTTTTTTTTTTATTGTAGGCTGTAATTTTTAGGAATAACTCACTGAAATCTGTCCGAACAAGAGTCTAGTAAACATCCCGGGTATGATAAAATTTGAAACACTAAATCATAAATTATAATTTAATAAATAATCATAAAAATAATAATATAATAATAATAAATTTAATTTAATAATATAATCAAACCAAAAACACTGAAATTTGAAATATAGCGCCAAGTTCGCACATCACTGAGCAAAGTCGCAAAATCGTTTTCACTGTTTGATGACGAATTTCCCCACAAATCATTATCACTCAAATCTGCAAGTGGTTCTGACTTACTATCGCTGTTCTCTAGCGGTCTAAAACCGCTTTTGACCTAAAGTGACGCTTTTTGGACACCATGGACATTTCTCAGTTTCCAGGCAATAAGAACAGTAAAAATGCAGGCAGGACACAGGACAAAGCACTCAGGACAAAATGTATGTGAAATGGTTTGATACAGTAATGGAATACTATGTGATTTTAGTGATTTTGTCACTTTTTGTCATTTTTGAATTTCCCGCCGTTCCGTCCCCCGTACGTCGCGACGCTCACAGGGGACGGAACCCAGATGACAGATGCTGGCATCCGCCGGATTACATTGTCAGGGACACTGCAGGAGGGACATCGTGTGAGCGCAGGACAAGGTAAGTGATACAGGGATTGTGGAGCAGCGCGCATGGTATTCCCGAGTGTAGCTCGGGGTTACCGCTTGTGGTACTGAAACCTTACCCCGAGCTACACTCGGGAATACCGCCAGGGAGGTTAAATGTACACTACTGTATAATGCCAAAAGTATTAGGACACCCCTCCAAATCATTGGGTTCAGGTGTTCCAATCACCAGCATGGCATCAGGTGTATAAAATCAAGCACCTAGGCATGCAGACTGCTTCTACACACATTTGTGAAAAAAATGAGTCTCTCTCAGAAGCTCAGTGAATTCAAGTGTGGTACCGTGATAGGTTGCCACCTGTGCAACAAGTCCATCTGTGAAATTTCCTTGTTACTAAATAATCCACAATCAATGGTTAGTGGTATTCTAACAAAGTGGAAGCAACTGGGAACAATAGCAACTCAGCCACGAAGTCATAGCCCACGCAAACTGACAGAGTGGGATTAGTGCATGCACACAGTGGGCAGAAGTTGCCAACTGTCTGTAGAGTCAATAGCTAAAGACCTCCAAACTTCATGTGGCCTTCAGATTAGCACAACAAAAGTGTGTAGAGACCTTCATGGAATGGGTTTCCATGGCCGAGCAGCTGCATCCAATCCTTACATCACCAAGTGCAATGCAAAGAATCGGACGCAGTGGTGTTAAAGCATGCCATCACTGGACTCTAGAGCAGTGGAGACGTGTTCTCTGGAGTGATGAATCATGCTTCTCTGTCAGGCAATCCAGTAGACATGTCAAGATTTGGCGGTTGGCAGGAGAACGGTACTTGCCTGACTGCATTGTGCCAAGTGTAAAGTTTGGTGGACAGGGATTATGGTGTGGGGTTGTTTTTCAGGGGTTGGGCTTGGCCCCCCTAGTAAAGGGAATTCTTAAGGCATCAGAATACCAAGACATTTTGAACAATTTCATGCTCCCAACTTTGTGGGAACAGTTTGGTGATGGCCCCTTTCTGTTCCAACATGACTGCCCACCAGTGCACAAAGCAAGGTCCATAAAGACCTGGATGAGTGAGTTTGGGGTGGAGGAACTTGACTGGCCTGCACAGAGTCCTGACCTCAAACCGATAGAACACATTTGGGATGAATTAGAGACTGGAGCCAGGCCTTCTCGTCCGACATCAGTGCCTGACCTCACAAATGTGCTTCTGGAAGAATGGTCAAACATTCCCATAGACAGTACCCATTTCAGTACCAAGAGCAGTAACCCCAAGCTACACTCGGGCTTACCCTGCGGCGTTGCTCAGGGAGTCCCTGCAGCACTTACCTTGTCCTTCGCTCCCGCGATGTGTCCCCTGCAGCGTCCCCGGCCATCTCCTCCGGCCGATGCCGGCATCCGGCTTCCGTGTTCTGGTCCCTGTGACGTCGGGACGTACGGGGGCGTCCCGTTGAAATTTTAAAAAAATGTCATTTTTTTTTTAAATGATTATTATATAGTAAAACATTGCTGTTTCAATGCATTTCACATATATTTTGTCCCTAGTGCTTTGTCCTGTGCCCTGCCTGCATTTTGACTGTTCTTTCTGCCTGGAAACTTAGAAAAGTCCATGGCGTCCAAAAAGCGTTCCTTTACGTCAAAATCGGTTTTAGACCAGCTAGAGAACAGTGATAGTAAATCAGAACCACTTGCAGAATTGAGTGATAATGATTCGTGGGGAAATTCGTCATCAGACACTGAAAACGATTTTACGACTTTGCTCAGCGATGTGCAAATTTGCCTCTGTATTTCAAATTTCAGTGTTTTTGGTTTGATTATATTATTGAATTAAATATATTATTATTATATTATTATTTTTTATGATTATTTATTAAATTATAATTTATAATTTCGTGTTTCAAGTTTTTTCATATCCGGAATGTTTACTAGACTCTTGTTCGGACAGATTTAAAAAAAAACTACATATTTCCATGCAAAAAAATGTACCGCTTTCAGCACAAAAAATCGGAAATAATCATACCGCCAAGGAGGTTAAACCTGCAAGACAGCTGTACGGAGGTATACACATGCCACAGCCATGATGCTTTGCATCATGACACTGAAACTATTATCTTCCCAGCCACATTTGGTGGACAGTACTGCCCCCTGATCGTGACCCTTCTAAGTAAATTGGGTCAAGCCACATCCTCCCTACAACTGCAGTCAATGTACATAGTTGCAACATGGTGGTGCAGACTTTAAGAGTTTAAAGCAGGTGGTGAGGAGGTGACATAAGACCTTCTCACCGTCTGTCCAACTCCCTCTTCCTAGGGCGACACCAGTGTGAATAAGTACTAAGAGTTATTTTTTTTTAAAATCTTTTATTTGAAGGATACACCCCAAATGAGAGAGATAATTATACATTTATACAAGTAACTGCTGCTTCTGAACATTCGCAGGTCTCTTTATGAGGGTTTCATCTGAAGCATGATTATTAGAGAAAGGATATCAATTTTGGAAAGTCATTTTGATCGATATCTTCCACCCATATCCATTCTTAGCAACTGATTTAGGGCTCATTCATGCCATATCTGTTTCGCTGTGTTGAACTGCGCAGATCAACGCAAGGGCACATGGAAAACAATTGATTTCTACATGCCCTATTAACAACAGAGTAAAAAAAGCAGCATGTATGTATTTTTATGCAGCACAACTCACTGCAACACATGCCACCATGCTGCAGCATATCAATGCTGTGGTACATAGAGTTGAATGAAGTATAATTTTGTGATCATTCACTAAAGTTAAAAAGGAAGAAAAAAGTAAACTGTGCAATGCCTTGTAACAACACATTGCAGCACCCCTACACAATGTACGCCACAACAAACCCTTTGAACCTAGAATGTAACAAATGTCATATGTAATGCTAGTTTCATTGCATGCGTAATATTGATTTCATGCCTTTATATTTTCTCCACATGTAGATATAGACCAAAATGTGCAGCAAAAGTGACAGCGACATGCTTGAACAGGTGCGGCAACAGTTAAAAAAAAAACCGTGAATAAAGGCAACCATTGTAAGGACACCTGGCAGCATTTATCTCACCCCCTGTTGCTGTCACATTTGCTGGACAGCTTGGACTGCATTTAGATTCAACAAAAAAACCTGTATATACATTTATTGGCTATTAAAAAACAGAATGTATTGAATACTATCATTTCATATATTATCTGCAGTCAGTTCAATATTTTTTTTTTGTGGTAGCCATCAAGTGTTCTAAATTTCCAGACAAATTTAAATTATAATTATTTCATTAAGTTATGAATTTTCTAAAATGAAAAATTAAATATATTTTAAATATCCCGTAACCTATACTTCTCCCATTTAGGACAAAATAGTAGGTTTTCATGACAGCGGACATGATAGCAAGCTTATGTTCACCTTCCATGTGTTTCTCTGTGTAAATTCTGACCAAATGTTCCTTGCAAAGGGCTATGGACTTTTCCACCTCCCCCACATTATAGGACTTGGGCTTGGTGACTGGCACTAAGAACTTCATAGTAAGGGAAAGAAAGAGTTAGATCCTACCCCATAAGCAGTTAGATCCTACCCCATGAGAGCTGTGGTGGAGGAATACAGTGGCAAGTAAATAGGTACGTGGCTCCTAACCATGGCTGCTATCTAGTAAACCTGTTACTTGATGAAATAACAAAAGAATAGTGTTGTCTTAAATACAGTTTCCTAAATCCATCTTTATATTACTGTAGTCTGTAAATAACTCTGTGTGCCTATGCAGGCAGGACCACCATGATGAAATCAAGCTCTAATGCCTTGCTCATTACTCTCAGCCTAATACTAGAAACTTGCTAAGAGGAGGAGAGAGCAAAGTGATGACTTCACCAGTGTTGTAGAGCTCCCACTTTATCCAGTTAGCAGGCTTGGGATGGGTTGGTGACAAAGCAGTATTTCTTAATGTACTGATAAAAGTAAGGTCACTGACCTAACGGCTTTCTCTGGCATGGGGTGCCAGGATCACTGGTTGAAGATTGGTTGAACAAAATTATAAATCATTTGGCAGCTTAAATAGTTTACCATATATCTTTCACTGATCCGCTCTCGCAGCAAATTGGCACTGATCAATTTATTTTGACAGTGAAAAGTGTCCACTATCAGAATACAATGGCTAGGCGAGGAGAATTCTTCCATCCACCTTGCTTGTGTAGATGGGGGAATCCATTCGTTTTTCTGAAAGAAAAAAATCTAAGCAGGTATACTCAGTTTAAAAGTCCTTTTTTTATGTGTTTTTTTGACTGGCGACAGGGCAAGGTACTTTAGTACCCGAGGCACAAAGGCCAAATGGTGGCACCCCATCTATCCTCCATGAGTTGTGACCACTATAGCATCATGGATTGCAGGTCCTTTCCATTTGTGCCCTTCTCCTGTGAATGTGCCCAAGGCAACCGCCTCTTCAACCTACCCCTCGACCCATACCTTCAAAAAATATTCCAAGTCCTCAGTTCTCTGCTCTCTGCTTGAGAAAAGTTGTCAGTAGGTGCTGACAAAATAGCCAGTCAAGACACTTCACCACTGCCACAATTTGTATAAGCCATTGAAGCACAAAGGAATCATGGGATCCAATTATTAAAGTATAACTAAAGGCAAAACTTTTTTTTTCTTTTAGTTTTGGATAGAGTGCAGATAGATTAGAACCCGCGAAGGTGCCCAAGGCAACCGCCTCTTCAACCTACCCCTCGACCCATGCCTTCAAAAAATATTCCAAGTCCTCAGTTCCCTGCTCTCTGCTTGGGAAAAGTTGTTAGTAGGTGGTGACAAAACAGTCACAGTCAAGACACTTCACCACTGCCACAATTTGCAATTGAAGCCATTGAAGCACAAAGGAATCATGGGAGCCAATTATTAAAGTATAGCTAAAGGCAAAACTTTTTTTTTTCTTTCAGTTTTGGGTAGAGTGCAGATGGATTAGAACCCCTTTCAATTTTTATCATTGTCTGTACTCCGGTTAGGGAGATTCACACCCTCTATTTGTCCTGTTTACCATTATCAGTGAAGGTAAAAGAAAATCCCAAATTTTGGGTTGTCCCTTGAAAATAAAAGGGTATATCTTCCTATGCGGACACTAGTTCTGGTGACCTGGGGGTCCCCAAGGGATACCCTTAATTTGCAGAGATTTCCTCTCACTTCCTGTTTGGCGATGGTCAGGAAGTGAAGGGAAATCTCCACAATAGGACACGGATGGTGGAAAAAAAAATCTGACAGGGTTTATATCCCTCTTTGGCTCTATTCAAAATGAAAAAATAAGTTTGCCTATAGTTCTAGTTTAATACCTCGAAACTAGGATTTTAAGGAAAAAGTTTCTATTCTAAATTGGCACCATATACACTGTTTCCTGTTTGTTTGGCTTTATGTTAACCCTTTAAATAGGGCTATCGTGTGAAATGTAGCACTGGACCAAAAGACCGCAACAAATATCCATAGTGGAACCATCTGCACTCTACATCCCTTTCCTTCTGCTTGAGTTCATCTAACAACTCTAGTCAAGCTTGCAGTTTGCCATCTACGATTTTTACAGATAGATGTACATGGAAAGATTTTTTATTTGCCTGATATAAGGATCTTCTTTTGTACTGTTATGCTGATTGTGATGGAAATATTATAGCTGACAAATGTAATAAAAAAACAGGTTGTAATTTTTCAATTAGGTGACTGCTATCCTTTGACATAGGAAAAGCATTATTTTTTTTTAATGCTTATGTCCTTTGCTCATTAAAGTAGAACTGTAGTCAAATCATTAAAAAAATATATATGTATATTTAATAAGATAAGACAAAACTCATACAGTTGCAAGAAAAAGTATGTGAACCCCCTTGGGATTACGTGGAGTTTTGCATGAATTGGGCATAAAATGTGCTCTGAACGTCATCTAAGTCACAACAATAGAAGAACACAGTCTGCTGAACATAATACTACACAAACATTAGATGTTGCCATGGTTTAATTGCACATAACATGTAAACATTCACAGTGCAGGGAGGAAAAAGTATGTGAACCTTTGGATTTAATAACTGGTTGACCCTCCTTTGGCAGCCATAACCTCAACCAAACATTTCCTGTAGTTGCAGATCAGACCTGCACAACGATCTGGAGTCATTTTGGACCACTCCTCTTCACAAAACTGTTTCAGTGTAGCAATATTCTTGGGATGTCTGGTGTGAATCGCTCTCTTAAGGTCATGCCACAGCATTTCAATCGGGTTGAGGTCAGGACTCTGACTGGGCCACTCCAGAAGGCGTATTCTGTGCTGTTGCAGCCATTGTTTTGTTGAATTACTTGTATGCTTTGGGTCATTGTCCTGTTGCATCACCCATCCTCTGCGGAGCTTCAGTTGGCAGACAGATGGTCGTACGTTTTTCCTGCAAAATGTCTTGATAAACTCTGGAATTCATTTTCCCATCAATGACAACAATCCGTCCAGGCCCTGAGGCAGCAAAGCAGCCCCAAACCATGATGCTCCCTCCGCCATGTTTCACAGTGGGGATGAGGTTTTGATGTTGGTGTGCTGTGCCTTTTTTTCTCCACACATAGTGTTG